GGCTGGGCTTGGACCCCTGGGCCTAAGAGGGGAGGCTGGGGCCTGATTCCTGGAGGACATCTGGGGCCTGGGCTAGGCAGTCTTGCATCTACCCCTGGGTAGCTAGGCTGGCCCTAGGAATCACCTGGCGTGTTCTCCCATCAGTGAAGTACAACAAGGGCCTGAGCTGCTCCAGGGTCACTCTCCTGACCCCTAAAGCATGCGAAGTCTTCTACCCTGGAGTGATCACCAACAACATGATTTGTGCTGGACTGGACCAGGGCCAGGACCCTTGCCAGGTAGGGAATGGCCAGGAGGAAAGAGATGCCTGTCCCTGCCCCAACCCCATTCCCTGCTCCATCCTTGACCCCAGGCCCTCCCTGTTCCTCACCCTCTCAGCCCCTAGCCCACCCTCCAGCTGTCCTCACCCCACCAATCCCCCCATCTCCCGATCCCTGTCCACCCCTCACCTACCATGATCCAGAGTCCAACCTCAACCCCAGCACATCTCCTGACCCTGCCCTGGACCCCAAGCCCACGTCCATCCTCACCCCAGTGCACGCCAACCTCACACCTAACTCCAGCCCCACCCGACCCCATCATTATCCACCGAACTCTAGCCCCAGCCCCTTCCCTCCTCATCAGACCCCGAGTGGAAGCTCTCACATTGGGGTCTCCCTTCTCTCACCTGCAGAGCGACTCGGGCGGCCCCTTGGTGTGTGACCAGACCCTACAGGGCATCCTCTCCTGGGGCGTTTACCCCTGCGGCTCTGCCCAGCACCCGGCTGTTTACACCCAGATCTGCAAATATGTCCCCTGGATCAAGAAAACCATACGCTCCAAATGACCCAGCCCCCAAGACCCCTTCACCACCTGTCCTCCTCCTCGGCCCTTCCTCCCCTGCCTGCCAGACCCTCGTACCCTGCCTGCCCATCTGTTCTCTTCCCTCATTCCCCTGACACTCCTGTTCTCTGCTCACTCTGGAGCCAAAGAAGAGAAAGTTGTGGCAAAGGTTTGTTCAGGAAAAGTGAGGAACCTGAAAGTCACCTAATCTCTGAGCGAAGCTATCAGAGTCAGCCGACCTGGCTTCCTCTACCATTCACTGCTGGGTGACCTGGGGCAAGCCATGTACCCTCTCTGAGCCTTGGTTTCCTCACCTGAAAAACAGGGACAATGAAGTGCCTACCTCTTAAATGCACCATCAGGCACAGGTGACGGAAGGAACGTGTGTAAATCTTTCTGGTAATTGTCATGTAAACCTGATCAATGAGTGTGAACGCTGACTAAACGTTACCTGTTGTCATGACCACATCGTGGTAACAGTGTCTCTGTCCAAGGCAGAAGAGTCCAGCATAGCCCTCACTCCAAACCCCAGCCCCACCCTGGGCTGATGGGAGGACCATTCCCTGCTCTCCGTCTGGGCTTCAGGGAGCACTGCACCTGCTTCCTCCTTCCCACCCACTACTTCCCACTTCTGGGTCCACCCAACACCAGCTCCTCTGTCCCAGCAGCGGTGAGGCTGCCCTTGACTCATATGCTTGCTCTCTGCCTTCATGGGACCACGGAAGGGAGCTCACCCTGCATCCTTCCGGGCCCCCAGGACCAGAGGGCCAAGCCTCGCTTCCTACCTCCGTGCCTGAAGGCTCTGAGGTTCAGGGAGAATCTTTGGTTTGTTATTCACTGGCTTTGAGATGTTTGTCCTGGAAGCTTGGAAGGAAGGATTGTTTCCCTCTCCCTGAAATTGTCTCTGTAAATATTTCTGCCCTGGGGGAGGGGGGTTTACACACAGAATCCAGGCAAAATAAAACAAGCAGATCTCCGAGGGTCTCAGCTTCGCCTGGACTTTGGAGTCTGAAGTTGTAAGTTATGACGCAGCTGAACATGGACACAGCAGGACTCTTCCACAGAGCATGGACTGGGTTGCCCTTTCAAACACCAATTTATTGAGCATCTGTTCTGTGCTAGGCCCCATGCTGGGTGATGGGGACACACTGGTGACCACAAGGTCCCTGCTCCCACAGAGCCCTCAGAAGATGGGCAGTCGAGGTCTGAGCACACAGTAGGGTATACCACTTCCTTCCCTTGGCTCTTCCTCGTCCCACCCCATAGCACACCCAGGAAATGTCAGTCCTGTGTATCAGCCCGGGTTGGTCATCAGGGATCACAAGTGAAGTAGGTGGAACTCGGGGCTGGACACATTTCCAGGCAATCCGTCCATGCCTTCACGCACTCCGTGCTGTTTACGCAGCTGCGTCTTGTGCCAGGCCCCGGAGATGAGTCTGACTAAGCCCTGCCCTCAGGAAGCTGTGCGTCAGGTCCAGGAGGGAGGCAGGCAGGACTGACATTCTTGTCATTCCGGTCTCCATTCAAAGGTCACCTCCTCCAGGAAGCTTTCCTGGATTGTCCTGGAAAGGGGTCCCCTTTTGGTCACCAATCCCACTGCTCCCTTTATTTCTTTCACAGCACTCATTATAGCTGGAATTATTTCATTCACCTGTTTACTTGATAATGACTGTGCGTCCCCCCACACACAGAGTCCGTGAGGACAAGGACTCAGGTACTGTCCACTGTGCATTCTAAGCACTTGCTCTAGTGCCTGGCACAGAAACCATCAGCGTATTGTTGAGTGAACTAGGAACACAAATCCATCAGTCCACACACCACAGACACACCTCGGAGCATCGAGGACTTTGCCTGAAGGAGTTGGGAGGCTTCTCACACCAAGGGATATTTGGGGGGGGAGGGGTTAAATGATAAGTAGGAGTTCGCCAGCGAAAGAAGACAATGCATATCACCATGGCACCCTGAGCTAGTTATTCCAATGCTTTCTGTACGTCAGTTCCCCGCTCTGGGCTGAGACCTGCTTGACTAGACTCTCACCAGGATCGAATGGGCTGATACTCATGAGCAATGCCTTCTCTAGGTACAGAATGAAGAGAGCTTTTCAGTATCCTGTAAAGCAGTTTAGTGGGGCTCTCATCACACAGGAGGTCCTTTGGGAGAGGGAGGAATTGGCCACAGGCATGTCATGCTCTGAGGAAGGACGTGTGGACTCCGCAGGAGACGGAGAGCCAGGCTGACTGCGTACCCACCGCCAGTCGGCCCGCTCCTGGGTGCTCCCAGTCTCTTGGCCGTTGCCCCCCACTGCCCCCTGAAAGCCTGGATATTACTGCTACTGAGCAGAGGAGAGAGGCCTGGTGACCTGCCCTAGGTCACATGCCTAGCCGGTGCCAGCAGGGGACTTGGGCACAGATGGTTCCGTTCCAGAATGCACGGCCCAGACCCTGAGACCACAGCTGGGGACATCCAGATGGAGCCACCCAGCTGATGAGCCCGGGGCCAAGGGAGAGCGGAAGGGGCTGTGAGTGCCCAGGGAAGCCAGGGGTGACTCTGCCTGGAGAAGTAAGAGAAGGCATCTTGATGGAGGGACATTTCGGTTGGGCCCTGGAGGGTGAGTAAGAGTTCACCAGGTAAAGAAGGCTCTGGGGAAAGACAGTCACTCGCCAATTGACGTCTCCTGAGGACTCCTGTGAGCCCGGCCCAGACGGGTGATTCCGGGGACACAGAGATGAGTCAGACCTGGGCCTGGCTGCTCAGGTGCGCCCAGCTGTGAGAAGAAATGGGGAAAGAGGCCAGGCGAGGGGGTGATGGGAAGGACAGTGGAGGCAGGGAGGGGGAGATGGGTGGGGAGGATATGGCCAAAGCTCCTGGGACTTGGCATTAAGAGAGCAGGCAGGGCGCGTGGGTCCAGGCAGGTGGGGCACCTGGTCCCTGGGGTGGTGGGCCTGTGGGGAAGGGGGCAGGCTGGGACAGGAGGGGATTAACGGGCGGGAAACAGGCTCCCCAGCCGTGGAAGAGGCCCCTCTCTGTGGGTGGGCTCAAGTCCCCAGGGCAGGGAGGGTTCTGTGCAGTGTGGGGCTCCCTGTGGCCCTGGCCTGCCTGGGGTCCTCCCACCGACGTCCCCCTCTTGTTGTTCCTCTCTCCCCTGACACTTCGCTCTGCCTGCCTGGGTCCTTCTCCCCCAGCCTAGGCTCTGGGCAGCCACTCAGGGGTGGGTCCAGCGCCCGACTCCAGCTCCCAAAGTCCACTCACCTTCCTCCTGGAATCCTGCCCTAGGCACCCTGCCTCCTCCAGGCCTTGAGATTCTGATCCAGATCCTGCAGCCCAAGGCCATGGGGAAGAGCAGCCCCCACTCTGAAGGCCCAGAGGAGCCACCCACATCCCCTCCACACACCTGCACCCCTTCCCATTTAGTGGAGTTCTGGTCCAGCTCTCCCAATAGGGGGGTCCCCCTGAGCCCACCGCCCCTCCCAAGGTTCCCCCACCCCTAGCACAACCCCAGGGTTTCCCCCTCCCCCAGGGACGTTTCCCAATGCTGATTAATCACAGGGGCGGCCCCGGGAGGAGGAAGGAGACGCATGGTGTACCTTAAAGAAGCTCCGGCGCCAAGCGCCAGCTGAGGACCCGCACGCCCCGAGGTCATGAAGCTGGGACTCACCTGGGCTCTGCTGTCCCTTCTAGCAGGTGAGCCCACCGCAGCCCTGCTGCCCTCTCGGCTCCTGCCCAGCCCCTCTGAGCCGGCCTCCCGGACCCAGCTCAGGCACCCTGCCTTCTGGGCTGGCATCCCCTCCCAGGCCCTCCCTTCCCGCCTGCTGTCCCTGACCCCTCTTGCCCCCACCCCAGGGCAAGGCTGGGCAGACACCCGCACCATCGGGGCGGAGGAGTGTCAACGCAACTCACAGCCCTGGCAGGCTGGCCTGTTCTACCTCACCCGGCTCTTCTGCGGGGCGACTCTCATCAGTGACCGCTGGCTGCTCACAGCTGCCCACTGCCGCAAGCCGTGAGTGCCCCGGACCAGCCACGCTGGCCAGCGGAATGGGGAGCCCGAGCGGGTGGCGGAGGAGGAGCCTCAGGGTGGAGCACAGAAGGACCTCCATTTCTGACCCCAGAAGTCCAACTCTTCTTTCCAGAGCCCTAAAACATCCCAGGTTCTAGGAGTCTAAGATTCGAGGCTTTGGCCCGAGAAACCCAGAATCCTAGAGTCTGGAAATCTTGGAGCCTTGGAATTCTGGAATCACTGATGCAGAGATCTCGGGGATCTACATGATCTACATGATCAGCCCCGGAGCGGAAATGTCATGCCACACACAGGTGTAGCTGAAGTTTTCCAGTAGACACCTTTAAAAAGTAAAAAGAAACAGGCAAATTTGACTTTAATAACAGATTTAATTGGACATACTCAAAATATTGATTCAAAATGTAATAACATTTTAAATACTTATGAATGACATAGCTCACTTTTTTTTTTTAAGTAAAGCTTTGCAATCCAGCATGTATTTTCTACAGATAACACATCTCAATTGGGACACGCCACATTTCAAGTGCTCAGTAGCAGTGTTGGCTAGTGCAATCCTAGAATCTTAGGTTCCAAGTGTCTTAGGCTCATGGGACATTGAGACTTACAGTCATGGAATCTTTGATTCACAGACACTGTGATTCCAGAATTCTAGAAGCCTATTTTCATAAACATGTAGAATCAATACCTCAGAATTTGATCATTCCAGAGTCTTAAAAGACAGGGAGCTTCACTCAGAGAGCTTTGAATCTTAAATTCATTGACTCCTAGACACTTAATTTCTAAAATCAGGGATTTATGGATCTAGAATGATGATGTTCTAGGTTTTATTTTGTCTTTGGAAGTCTTGGGGATTGAACCCAGGACCTCACACATGCCAGGCAAGTGCTCTACCACTGGGCTACAACCCCAGCCCAACCCGGTACTTTTTAACTCACAGAAATATAGGATGTTAGAATCTTGGATCCATAAAATTCTAAAATTGAGCCTCTGAGACTCCTAAAATAATAGACAGTGGGTGTTGGGATCTTCAAATTCCAGAATCTTAGATTCTGGGCACTTTAGTAGAATCCTAGGGTCTATGGAATGCAGGCATATGCTATCTCTGAGCAGAGGCCAGCCTGTCTATTCTAATATCCTCTCCAGGAGAGAAGCAAAAATGCTGGTTCAGGATGCCAGATGGGAATTTCCCATCATGCATTGCTCCACACAGGGTCTCTCTCAGTTGCGCTCTCTCTCTCTCTCTCTCTCTCTCTCTCTCTCTCTCCCTCTCCTGAGTATTGAGACCAGGGCCTTATGCATATGAGGCAAGCACTCTACTAATTGAGCTATATCGCCAGCCCAATGGGGTCTCTTTTAACCCAAGCCTGTACCTCGGAATGAGAGAACAATGTTTAGATTCAGCCCCAAAGACAAAAAAGGAGAGAGGCAGATAGAAGGGATTCAGAGGCAAAGATGGGGGTGTAGGGGATAACTTCCCCAACACAGAGTCAAGACCACGAGGGTGGAGAGGGGGATAGAGACAGAAATACCAGCTCATACTCCCTAAATCCCAAATTCTCAGTCATGAGTCTAGGGCCTAAGTCAGGGGTCAGAGATGGGGGATGAACATGTAGCCCCCTAAAGGGCCCCCACCTGTTCAGAGCATGGACCTAGACTAGAACAGGTGGGCTGGGACTACAGCAAGAGGACTTAAGGTTAGGTCTCAAGAAGCCCTGCCTAGAGCTGGGGATATAGCTCAGTTGGTAGAGTGCTTGTCTCACATGCACAAAGTCCTAGGTTCAATCCCCAGCACCACAAAAAAAAAAAAAAAAAAAAAAAAAGAAGAAGAAGAAGAAGAACTGCCTTGCAGGGTAAAGAATATGACAGAAAAAGCCCAAGGCCATGGGATGACCCCCAATTTGGGGACTTTCCATATTTCCTCTCTCTCCATACACACATATCTCAAAACATACCTCGAACCACTCCCACACAAGTCAACAGCCCTGTGGGCACAGGAGGTGGGGTTGTTATTGTCTGGTTCTAATTGTGTGGTCTACAAGGTTCCAGGGGACCCAGGTCACCATGGGACTCTAGGTGGGGCAGGAAGGACAGTGGCTCACTCAGCATGGTGGGCGATGAAGGGGAGCCGTTGGGGGAGGGCTACACAGGCAGAGGGGGACCGAAAGTCAGAGCTGGAAGCAGAAACCCAGAAAGGGTGCCTGGCCTGTGGAGGGTCACCCAGCACCCTGATGGACAGAAAAGGAGAACTGAGGCTGATTGACTCCCCCCACCACCACTTCCCTCTAACGTGACTTCTGAAGTCTGTCCCAGCAGGTACCTGTGGGTGCGCCTTGGGGAGCACCACCTCTGGCAGTGGGAGGGTCCAGAGCAGCTGTTCCGGGTCACAGACTTCTTCCCCCACCCGGGGTTCAATGAGGACCTCAGTGCCAATGACCACAACGATGACATCATGCTAATCCGTCTGCCCAGGCGGGCACGCCTGGGTCCTGCTGTGCAGCCCCTCAGCCTCAGCCAGACCTACCTTGCCCCAGGCACTCAGTGCTTCATCTCAGGCTGGGGGGCAGTGTCTAGCCCCAAGGGTATGGCCTTCCTTGCCTGTGACACAGCCCCTGGGTCTCAGGCCCAGGGCTGGGCTCCCTACCCCCGTCTCTGCCTTTTCTCCTCTGTTCTCTCCCCCGTTCACCTACCTATTCATCAAATCTAAAATGCTATAAAGTTTAAGAAGCATAATTATTTTAAGAACTGCTAAGAATGGAAAAAAGTACAGTTGATTGTTTGACCTCACGAACTGGAGAACACATCCCGGTTCCACAGACATTTCAATGTGAACATCTGTGCATCTTAGAATTGCAATCAAACCTCCATCTCACTCACACTGGCAACCCATTAGCCACATTTGGCTTTTCATGTTAGCGTTAGTTTCCCAAGTGTCTTTAAAACAAATCAGTCTGAATTTGTTGCTGCCAACATCTAAAACAGGGACACTTTAGAAAGCCAGATTTCTGGATTTGCTTGAAATTTTTAAGGAACTGCTAACAGTTGCCCACATCCCGAGAACAGCACCCTGGGCAGAGTGAGTAGAGGCTGCCCTCTTCAGACAAGATATGGGTTCGCTGCACTCCACCCCTTTGGCTGCCCGCCAGCTGCACAGTCCCCACCGGGACTCGTATTTACCCAGCAAGTTCCCTGAGCACCTGATTTGTAGCTATGTGTCACATACATTCTACATGCATATCTGTATCCCTGTCTGTCTCTTGGACGGGCTGTAGCTTACCTCGAGCTTTATGCAGTATCTCTATGTGTGTCTCTGTCTCTGTCAATGACAGTCTGTCCCCTCCCTATTGCCCTGCTCCCCTCCCATGTCTCTGGGTCTCTTCTCTTTCGTCATGGTCTCCTCTGAGAATCTCCCTTTAAAGAGCCTCTACCTCCCTTCATGGTCTATTTCCCTCCAAGTGAGTGATACACAGCTCTCATCTCTTGCTCTCTGTAGCTTCCTCTTTCTTTCTCTTGCTCTTGGTCTCTCTCTCCTCCATCCCTCTGTTTCTCTTACATCTATGACTGTCTATGTCACCATCTCTTGTCTCCATCTTTGAGTCTTATGATGTGGTTCTGTGGGTTCTCCAGTGGAAAGGCTTCAGAGAAGACTCAGGAAGGGGAATTGCTGGGCTGGCAGCTCATTTTCTGTGGCTCTCTTTCCTAAACAGTGCGGTATCCACTCACGCTGCAGTGTGCCAACATCAGCATCCTGGACGCCAAACTCTGTCACTGGGCTTATCCAGGCCACATCTCAGACAGCATGATATGTGCAGGCCTATGGGAGGGGGGCCGAGGCTCCTGCCAGGTAAGACCCTGCTGTGGGGAGGAGGCCATAGGCCTGATCTTGGGGAGGAGACAACTGGAACCCCAGACCCCCACCCCAGCTCCCAGGAGACTGGGAGGTGGGGAGGGGGCACTGAGTCCTGGGGAAGGAGAGGGCTAGAAGCTCAGAATACCAGGTCATGGGGAGAGACGGGTCTCTGAGCTTTTCCTCTTGTGTCTGAGAGAGGAAAGACTGGAGACCTGGACAGTTGAGGACTCTGGGGGACTTCCCAGAAAGAGGAAGCGGCCAATGCAATTGTCCTGAGTAGACTGGCGTTAACAGTTTCTCTGCTCTTCTCTCGTGCACAGGGTGACTCTGGGGGACCCCTGGTTTGCAATGGGACCCTTGCAGGCGTGGTGTCTGGAGGCGCTGAGCCCTGCTCCAGACCCCGGCGACCCACTGTCTTTACTAGCGTACGCCACTACGTGGACTGGATTCGAAAAACCATAGAGGAAAACTGAACTCTCAAGCTAAGGACGACTGTGCGAGGACGCGGGATCGAGAGTTACTGCAGGGATCCAGCCTCGACCGTCACGGTTCAGACTAAGCCCTGACACTGAGGCTGCGCGCTCCCTCAGGCTCCGCCCCGCGCTTAAACCTCGGTGTAGCCACACCCCCTCGGAAAGGCGCAGGGACACCGGTCCGCATCTCTTGGCCAAATCTCTATGACGTCACCAAGAACGGACACCATCCCCTGGAACTGCCCCACCGTGTGGCTCCGCCCTAAGGAACACCTTCAACCAAGTGGCCCCTCCCCTCCGAACTTTTCCCATTGGAACTTCACCTTTGGGCCCCGCCTCCGCCGCCAGCGATCCCGCCCCCATGACGTCAGTGGCTCTGTAGCCCCGCCCACGTGAAATTCAGTCCTGCTGGGCTCCGCCCCCCGCGGCCCTGCCCTGGGCGTGTCCTGGGTTTTGAATCCTGGCGCGGACCCGACTGGGAGAAGTTGGGGGTCACGGTCCTTTCAGAGCCGAGGGATGATTGTACAATAAAGCGGGTCCATCTGCCTGTGCTGTGGAATGAGGGGGGCACTGATGGGAGGCGAAGGCCGATGAGGGCTCCGCCGCCGAGTTGCACATACCCCTAGTAAGTCCTGCCTGACGTCGGTCTCCATCGTCTCCATTGCGCAGGGCTGAGTTCTGCTTGGGCTGGTCCCGCCACCCCCAGGGGAAGGGGAAACCAGGTCACGGTGCTCCCCAAACCTGCCTTCCCAGATCCCGCACCTCTCGGGGCCGCGGGCGGGCCCGGTCCGCCCTCTGCACTCCGAATCCAGAAGACCCGCCTTTCTTCCGGGTTATCGAAGCAGCCCCCTCCTCCCACAAGAATCGGGTTCCAAGCCCCTTCCCTCCAAAAAGAGGAGAATTCAGCCCCAGCACTTGCTCTGACCCAGGAACGCAGACCCCAGCCCTCCTCCCTCGGACCCGGGGATCCCTGCCCCAGCATTGAGCACCCATCTCCATTTCCTCAGTTCAAGATTCCAGCCCCGTCCCCAAGACTTCGGTTCAGCCCCCACCCGCCCCTCTTCACACACACCCTGGGTTCCCAGATGCGTCCCCAGCTCAGGTGCGGGAGGAGGCGGGGCAGGGGGCGGGGATTCCCAGTTAAAAGGCTGAAGAATCGTGTACCAGGCAGACAGAACTGAAGTACCGGGGCCTCTTCCTCTGAGCCCGAAATCAGTAGGTGACCCTGCCCCCTGGATTCTGGAAGGTGAGGTGCAGAGGTATTCAGACACTGGCCTCAGGCCCAGGGACCCCTCCCCGCCAGGCCTCAGGACCCCAGCCTCAGACCCTTCTCCCTCCAGACCCAGCAATCCGACCCCAACTCCCACTTCCCCGGACTCAGAGTCCCGCTCCCAGGTCCTTCTCTCCTCAGACCCAGAAGTCCAGGAGCAGAATTCCCTCCTCCCTCGGAATGCAGGAATCTAGTTCCCCAGCCTCACCCGGCCCGCCCCCATACTTAGCTTTGGAAATTTGGGCTCCTGTCCCCTTCTTCCTCAGACTCAAGAATCTGGATCCCCAGCTCCTTCCTGGTACAGGACTCACAACAGCTCCCAACTGCTCCCGATCCTCTGGCTCCCTCCCCAGCCCCAAAATGCTAGGATTTCAGGCTCCTCCCTTCTGTCTCAGCCCCACCCTCTCCCTCCCTCAGACACCATGGGACGCCCCCCACCCCTTGCAGCTCTTTACTGGAGGATCCTGCTCTTGCTGCTGGGAGCCTGGGCAGGTAGGGGACAGGGAGGCCTCTGAAGGGAGGGGGCAGAAGGCAGCAGTGGTGCTGGGAGCCTGGGCGAAAGCTGGGTGGGTATGTGGGTGCGTGTGGTGGTGTGGGGCGTGTGAAGTGTGTGACTTGGTGTGGGAGCCTCTGTGGGCCTCCTGGGTGTGGATGGAGGTGTGGAAGACACCGCAGGTGTGGGAGTGGGTTCAGTTCTGCTGAAAATGGCATCAGTACTCAGGGGGGCGCCCGCACAGACACACGTGGGAGTATCGTACAAGGATCTGTGTGAATGCATGCGGACGCGCACTTGGCTATGTGACTCGCCATGACTTGGGACCGTCAGTGAGTGAGCACGCGGAGGACTGGCCGTGTGTCCATTTGAACCCACAGTGGTTGTCCTGGCCCGGGCACTGACCCCGAGGGTGGAGATCCAACCCTGTCCCTCCTGCCGCAGGATGCGCCAAGGCACAGGGGTCCAAGATCCTGGAGGGCCAGGAGTGTGAAGCCCACTCTCAGCCCTGGCAGGCGGCCTTGTTCCAGGGCCAGCGACTGCTCTGCGGGGCTGTCCTTGTTGGTGCCAACTGGATCCTCACAGCTGCCCACTGTAAAAAAATGTGAGTGGATCTCTGGGGCAGGGGCAGGCTGGGGTCTGAGGGGGTTTAGGCCTTCACTCAGGAAGAAAGCTGGACCCCTGGTCTGAGGGAAGAGGGCTGGGGTCTGGACTCTGGTCCTGAGGGAGGAGATGCTGGGTGCCCCAGTACTCAGGTGCTCCTGCCTGGGTTCCAAGCTACCTCCTACCACTTACAGGAAGTACACAGTGCGACTGGGTGATCACAGCCTGCAGAGTAAAGACGGGCCCGAGCAGGAAATCACAGTGGCTCAGTCCATCCAACACCCCTGCTACAACAACAGCGACGTGGATGACCACAGTCACGATCTGATGCTCATCCGACTACGTGGTCAAGCATCCCTGGGGCCCAAAGTGAAGCCCATCAACCTGGCGGATAAATGTGCCCATGTTGGCCAGAAGTGCACTATATCGGGCTGGGGCACTGTCACCAGCCCCCGAGGTAGTGGGCTTGGAGGGAGAAGAGGAGCTGTTGGCCCAGTGGACCCTGAGCCATGGGCAAGGCACAGCTCCCACAGAAGATAAAGAAGGGAAAGTGATGTGTGATGTTGAGATTCACCAGAGGTCCTTATTGGAAACCTTGAAGCCAGACAGGAGTGGTGAGGGAAAGAGAGTCAACAGATCGCTAAGCAGGGCTGGAAAAACAAACCCAAAAGTTCTCTTTTTGGTAGATAGCACCATCTCATGAAAACTTTCATTGTCTATGATTTTATATAATCTTCATAACAGACCTGGGATATATGGGCTCTGCAGGAGCCCAGGAAAGCAGGCTCCTCGGTCCCTTCCCTGTAGAACCCAGGAAACCTGGCCCCATCCCCTCTTGCCTTGGTATGAGTTTATACCCTTCTTCCCCCAGCACTCAGTGGTCCAGGTCCCTAGTTCCCTTCTTACTCTTGGTCCAAAAGTCTGGACCTCTATTAAAGGCATCCTTTTGGGACTTCAGAATCTAGACAGCCCCTTGCCTTACTTCATAGTGGAAAATAAAAGTTGGGGCTCAGCTCTCAGAAGCAATAGGATCCTCCAGGAAGTGGCAAAGCAAGATTCAGGTCCCTGCATGCCTGACTCCTGATGCAGATGAGATGTTGTATTGCTGCAGAAACACATCTGCTCATGAATCTACCTAAACCACAGCTCTGCCCCTTTACCTGGGGAAGTCCCTTTCCATCTCTCAGCCTCCCTTTCTTCATCTGCAAGTTGAGAATCATCATCCAAGAGACTCTCTTCAGCTCCACAAGGCCTTAGGTTACATCTGTTTTCTTCATTGTGTGTTCTGAGTGTTTGGGATGGTGACTGGTACATAGAAGGTGCTCAACAAGTATTTGTTGAACAACTGAGGTAACAAGAAAGTGAAGGAATGTGTCTGTCCTTCAAAGAACTGCTGTGATCACATGAGATTGTGAGCACAGAAAATTATTTTCTTATGTTTATTCCTCAAAGGAGATTAATGAAAAAAAAATGAATTCCACTTTCAAGCATTAATTCAACACTTATTTATTGAGCATCTAGCATGCCCCAGGTGCTATTGTAGGCAGTGGGGATCCAATCATGAACACACCATAGCACCCTGTCCTTATGTAGTTGCGTTGCCAGGTGAGGGAAATAGAGAGTAAGCAAATACTCATAAAATAAAATATCAGGTAGAGTTAAGAGCTATAATTAAATAATGTGGAGGGTAAATGTAGGGAGCGGTAGAGGGGTGGCATTTTAATTAGAGGAGCCAGGAAATGTTTCTAGGAAAGAGTGACATTTGGAAAGTGGAATTATCTAAAATTGAGCCCTCCCCCCTCCACCCTATTGGTCTGAGGGCAAGAAGACTAGCTAAGAGGGTCAGAGGTGTCTTAAGGGGACATCACAGCCCTTTTTCCCCAGTCACCTGCCTTTGTATTTGAAAATGACTTAGGATAAGATAAGATCAGACAGCCACTCTCTAGATGGATAAAGACACGTCTGTGGTATTATTTGCAGTTTCCTTTAATGTATCTAGTACGTAGGCCCAGCAGAATGTTCCAGAAAACTCCCCCAGAGCAACTTCCAGTGAACAAAGTGGGGATTAGATCCAGATGGGAATGGAAAGAAAGGGTTGCTCTCTTACCACCTCTTTCTCCTCAGAGAACTTTCCTGATACCCTCAACTGCGCAGAAGTGCAAATCTTTTCTCAGAACAAGTGCGAGGATGCCTACCCAGGGCAGGTCTCAGATGGCATGATTTGCGCGGGCAACAGCAACGGGGCTGACACCTGCCAGGTGAGTGACTTCTGAGATCTCCTCCCTCATCTCGTAGGACCCTCAGGAGTTCCAGTCTTGAGAAGGGGACTCCAAAGAATTAGTACCCAGAGAGGTTGCCCCAACCCCTACTGAGTGGGAAGGAGGCACACAGGAAGCCAAACTCCCAGTCGAGGTCACAGGGCGTAGGGATCAGGAGCACTGGATGTGACTTCATCCTCTTAGGAACCCTTGCCTGCAGGATGACCTGCCGGGAGGGGCGCTCTGGACAATGAGGGAGACGTCCTCGCAGGGGACAGAGTCTGGCTGGAGGTTAGGCCGGCTCCCTGCGCCCTCCCAGCCTTACTTCTGGAATCGCCCCTACCTGCCTGGGTCCCCTGGGATGGCTCCCTTCTCCTCTGATTGCTTCCGTGCGGAGCCAGGCTGCCTCGCCAGGTGGCCAGGGAACGTTGGCTTCGACTTTGCTGCCTCCTCAGGAAGCTCCCATCCCCTTTCCTGAGGCCCTTTTTTCCGTGTTGGCTGTAACTGCTCCGGGGTCCTTCGGGGTCCTTCGGGGTCCCCCGGCTTTGACTCCTTCATGGAAGCCCCACCCCCGTCGCTACTGATTGGCCCCTGAAGACAATGCTTTCTTCCTCATTGGCCAAAAATGAAGTCGTTTCCACCGGTCAGGGGTTTCTTCCCTGCGGATCTGCTGTGCTGGTGTGCGTGTGTGTGTGTGTGTGTGTGTGTGTGTGTGTGTGTGTGTGTGTGTGTGTGTGTGTGTGTGTGTGTGTGTGTGTGTGTAAGTGTGTGTGTGTGTGTAAGTGTGTGTGTGTGTGTGTGTGTAAGTGTGTGTGTCCGTGCGTCTGTCTCCACAAGAACTCTGCTTCCGTCTCCCATTTTTGGCAACTGGAATCCACGGAGGAAACAGCTCAGTCCCCTCCATTTGGTCCCCACCGTCTTCTCTCGGGGTGGGACCCTAGAGACTTCACTCTTCCCTCACTGCTCAGGATTTTGGCCCTAGCCCTTGGACATCCTGTGTCCCCGCCTTCTCCCTCCTGATTGGTCTCAGGGGCCGGTGCTCGTCCCCATTGGCTCCAGGGACCAATCCTGCAGAAGACCTGGTCTAAGTGCCAGGTGCTGCAGCAGGAGGGACTGTGGGTGGCTAAGGGACGTCGCCGTGTGGCTCCCCCTCCAGGGCGACTCCGGAGGCCCGCTGGTGTGCGACGGCCTGCTCCAGGGCATCACGTCGTGGGGCTCGGACCCCTGCGGGCGGCCCGATAGACCTGGCGTCTACACCAACGTCTGCCGCTACCTGGACTGGATCAAGAAGACCATGGGAAAGAGGGGATGATCCTGGGGGGACCCCGGGCCTCCTTTAATAAACTGACGAGACTGGCTGGCTTCTTGCTTGTCTGGGCTTTGCCTGGCGGGGAGGGGGAGGTGCTGCCCCCTGCTGGCGGGCTTGGCGGGAGAGCTGCGGAGACTTGGACCCCTTGGCCACTCTGGCCATCCCACTGCCTGAAGTGACTCCCCACCCCCAAGGACTTGGGTGAGTGGGAACATTTTTCAAGAGAGAAAAGACGTTCAAAATTTTTCAATGTCCAGGTGGCTGATGTGAAAGATAGTCTTTTCCCCATATTTTTATTGGTGTATTATAATTGTACATAATGATGGGATTTGATGTTAACATATTCCTACATACACACAAGATGACAGTATAATTTGGCCAGCGTCACTCCCAGCACTCCACCCTCCCTACCCACCTCTCACCCTCAGTCTCTTTCCTCTACTTTCTCCCTTTGATTTTTATGAGATCCGCCCCCACCTTTCTTTTCCTTTTTCCTCTCTAGCTTCCACATATGAGAGCAAATATATGTCCCTTTAAAGGGTTTCATTTAGTTGTAGTCATTGTTCTTCTTGAGCAGCTAAAGTGTTATAAGCTTTGGGGAGATTTTTTTTCCACTTTTTTCAATTGTGAAATCTGCATAGAGAAGAGAACAGGTATTTACAAATGACACCTGTGGGACTAGCAAAAAAAAAAAATATACCTGTTAGCCCCCATATCTAGAAATCCTTCTCACAACCTAGAGTTGTCTTGGGGCATCTGCCATGACTATAGGAAATGACATTGTGTCCAAATTGAAATGTGGAGCAATGCGCCTTTTGGGAATTGTTCATTAGAGCAAAACACATAAATTGTCTTAGGAGGGCTGGGATATAGCTCAGTGGCAGAGCTCTTGCCTGGCATCTCGAAAAATAAATAAATAAATATTTCCTTAGGGAAAGGTGGCGGGTAGTACATAGTGTGAGGACATACACAGTCACTGTCCTAGGACTTCAGATTATTCTTATAAAAGAGAATTTGACCGGTCCAGCTCACCTTTTCTCCTTTAGCCACAGCATAGAACACTGAGTGACCATTTGTTTGAGTTCTGGTCAGGTAACCAGTCCTATCCAATGGGTGGCTATGTGGAGTCACATGGTAGGAAACTTGGCCACTCAGGGCTGTTGGAAGGCCATTCTCCACTAGGGCTATTTGTGTTTGAGATGTCTTGCTCACAGCAGTCTCCAAATCTGATTGGTCCAGCTTGAACTGGCCCCACCCCTTGGGCCCATCATTATTGTTAAAGGTCAAGCATGAGACTCCTTGGCTTGGCCTGAGTCCTTCCTGTGGCCCAGTGGGCCGCTGGGATTGGGGACCTATGATTGACAGTGTTCCAGAACTACAGGGAATGAGGGAGCAACTCCCCTAAAGAAGTGGGGTACTGCTCTTGGAGGAAGGGAGAAGGGAATCCAGGAAGTCAGAAGCAATGGGCCATCAAACCACAGGCTGAGTCAGGGGGTGCTAGAGTCACAGTGTCCAGGGTCCCTCGGGGCAGGATGGTCAGATGCCAGTTCTCATGTGATCATGTGCTGCAGGATGAGTCACCAGCAGAGGTTCAGGACATGGGTCAGAGGGCGGGAGGTAAGAGGCCAGGTGTCTGGGTGGACTTAGCAACAGGTGTTGGGACTAACCCTGAAGGGCACAGGGGGCTGTAACCCATGTGGGGGCATGCATCTGTATCAGGCCCAGGGCTTCTGAATCTGTCTTGAAAGCAGAGAGACTCAAGGTGTTTGAGGGTGGAACAGGGAACTTTCCTTTACAGAGTATGCATCTGTACAGTAGGGATACCGTGGGCTCTTCAATCCCTGACAGTCAAATTCTGACACTTGCTCCTTCAGTGTGCTACTTTGCTCAGGGGATCTGACCTCTTAAACTTCCATTTCCTCATTTGTAAAATGAAGATGTCAATCCTCACTTGGGCCAAATAGAGATAAGAATAGAGATAAGATCTGAGAACACTGGACACGCCCCCTGTAGGTAGAGCTGCGTGGCAACCTGCTTCCTTCCCTGGATGGTGGATCCCAGGAGGGATACTAACTTGGAGCCTGCTGGGTAGCTGTCAACTTCCCATCGTTTTTATATAACCCTCCCAGTTGGCTGGAGAAGTAAGCTCTGCAGGTTCCCGCCTTAGAGAAGGGCAGTATGAGACTCAGGTAGGAGAAGTCCCTTACTTGAAGTTGCAGGGTGGGCAACAGGGACTCACACCTGGGCTGGACTGACTTGTGAGCCACATTCTTTCTATGACACCCTGAGGCAGAATGGCTCAGAGATCAAGGGAGGCCTGAGCACAAAGGCAGTGGATTTGTGGGTGCCAGAGGCTTGCAAACTAGTGTTTGTGTAAGTCCCTCCTATCTTTTCTGGTCTGGGCTGGGTGCTAAAGAAAACAACAGAGCGCCTCTGCTCCTGAAGACCAGCAACAAAGCCAGACTAAATAATTAAGGCCACAGCTTCCAGGGTGACAGGTCTGCCAACCACATCTGGTGATTTAGGGGTGGATGACAGGCTCCCCGCCAACATAGCGCCTTTCCTTTGCTGAGGAGGCAGGGAACTGAGGGATGAGAGGATCTGGGGTGAACATGTGGGCAGGAGATAGCATCCCGCGAGTCTGGCTAAAACTCCTCTATTTGGGAAGCCAGGAAGGAAAGATTCAGGTGCTGGGTCATGGGGCTGTGACCTCACATGGCCCAGGGTCTGCCTGCATTTGTTTGGGGAGCTCAAATCAGGAAGGTTGATGCTCCCCAAGGCCAGGGCCCTGCTGTGCAGTGGACAAGGCCAAGGGCCCAGTTCTGGAATCTGCTGTTGGACTTGACGGGAGTCAACATCTCAGGGCTAATGAATTAGCTTGAACTGAATTAGCCCAGCATCCCCATCAAAACAGAGTTAGTTGGCAGAGTTTATTTTCAAGTTTGTGTTTAATGAAGGGTCAGTTGAAGAAGTGACAGTGGAGTTTGGGGAGAAGTTGGAATAGAATCGAGGGTTGGGATGGGAATCAGGGTGGGATTGGGGTCAGGGTGTTGGGACTGGTGTGGGATGGCAGCTGGGTGGATCTGTGGGGAGGAGGTCAAGTGGGCTCCCTGCCGCCAAGGCAGACACTGAAGTCTGAGTTGTACGTGGGGCAGGTCTGGGGTTGAGGCTATGGTGATACTCGGTATTTGGGTCCAGGCTAAGTTTGGCTTATGGTTAGGGGAGATCCAGGGTCAAGGTTATTGAGGTCTGGGTTCTGGCCTGTGTGGATATTTGAAGTCAGGAACTCAAGTCAGGGTTGAAGTTCTGGGTTCAGGTAGAAATTGGGGTTGGTCAAGGATGAGCAGAATTTGGTGTTACGATTGTGAACCAGTCAAGCCCGGGGCTAGTGTGAAGATTGGTGTTGGCTGGCATTAGGGTTGACCTTGAAGCTGGCCTCCAAGCTCTTTCTGCCTCTGTCGGAAGCAGCTGGCCCCCATGCCCCTCCTCCATCAGCACCCTCGAGAGGCCACAGCCTTGACACCCTCCCCCCTGCCCACATCTGTTGTTGGCTTGGACCTGTTGATTTTCTCTCCTAAGCATAACTTGAATCCATGCACTTACCATCATCTCCACCTCCCGATGTCCTTGTCCAAGTCACCAACGTCTCTTCCCTAGACAAGAGCAATGACTTCCTCATGGTTTCCCAGGGTCTTCTCATCCCCCAAATACAGCAGCCAGGGTGACGTTTTGAAAGTACAGGTCTTGTTATGCCATTCTCCTCACTGAAGTCCAAGTCATTCTTCATTGTCTGCAGGATAAAGTGGGACTCACTGCGACACGCAAGGCTCCTCAGGGCCTGCCCCCATCTGGCTCTGGGCTGCATCCACACCATGGCCAGCACAGGGCCCCTTGCACCTGTCACTTTCTTTGCACAGTGTGTCCTCCTTGCTCCGCCCAGAAACTTCCAGTCAACGCTTGCTGTTCTTTCAACTCTGAGCTCATTGTCAAAATTCCCCGATGTGCTTCCACGATACCCCGTCCTTTTCCTTCAGAGCATACCATATTTTACATTGGCTTGTTCTGAATTATTTGAGGTTGTTCTTTTGGAGGAGACCCACAGCTCCTTGAAGACAAGGGCTCTATCCCGATCTGTGCAGGTGCCCTCAGTGTTAAGGGCCAGGCTATATGGGCAATGACCAAACAGACTCCATTTTTACCCTGAGACTCCATAGCATGTAAGAAATGCTTCTCCCGTGGGAAAGCCCCGCCTCTGTACCCATGACTAGTTGCCTAGCACAGCATACTTGGCAACACAAAGTAGCAATTCTTATAGGATGTAAAATCCCTCTCTTTGGTTCCCATTTTCCTTGGGCAGTGTACCTTATTGGGGAATAATTGATTAGACGTTAGTAACCATTCTTTAACTTGTACTGGACTAGGGTCACTTTGATCCATTTCTCTTTTGATTATGATTATGGAAAATCCCATGAGAAATACTGAAATAGAGTGAAAATATGATTCAGGACATTGCATTGTTTGGTTAATGGTGTCATTCAGCTCCTGGACTCCTGCCTGCTTGCTTGCTTGCTGGTTGCTATGTCAACCTGGATGTGGGTTTTGCAGTTTTTGCTTTTAAATATCCTAAAATGTTGAGGCTTAGTCTGTCTTCCTGCAGAGAAAACTTGGTCCTGTAGGAAGCAGTCTCTGCCGGTCCAACAATAAAGACTCTTCAATTTGGATAAAACGGGGACTTGGTGTGTTTTCGGAGTGACCTGCCCCACAGTACTCAGCACCAACCCCACCTGGCACAGCTCTGCCTGTTATATGTTGTTAAGTGCGTGAAGGACGGGGCCTCTGTGGACAGGGGACGAAGGCTGGAGGAAGGGTTGGGTTTGGTGACTACAGTGGCTTCCAGATAGGGATTCAAATGGCCACCGGATTTGGATTCATGGCTCCGGCTCAAGATCTGGTATCTGAGTTGGGATTTACAGGAACACTGAGGTGTTAGTAAGGATGAACTTGACTACAAGGACCAAAGGACTTGGACCCCCCAGGAAGCCTGGAAAAGCCATGTGACGATGGGGCTGCACAGCTGGCGGACTGCCACCCCAGCGATGGCATGGAAGACCCAGCCGATGACCTGTGGGCTCCGGCAGTGTTTTGGCTTAATCCTCTGCCCACTTCTCCTCATGGTCCACTCACGCAGTTCCAGAATCTGCATTCAGAAGAGACGCCATGGGTAAATAAAGAAACTTCCAGTGTTGTCTTTGTGAAAATCAAGACATCTTTCTCATAAAAGTTGGGGGGGTCTTCTCACTCCTTATTGGCTAAGACCATATCACATGTCAATTTTAAACCAATCAGCAGCAAGCATCATGTGGTTTCCATAATTGGATCCTCCAGGATTATGGCCATGATGAGGATAAAAGATTACCCAAAAAGCCAGGTGTGGTGGCTCACGCCTGTCATCCCAGAGATTTGGGAGGCTGAGACAGGAGGATTGCAAGTTCAAAGCCAGCCTCAGCAACTTAGTGAGGCCCTATGCAACTTAGAGCCTGTCTCAAAAATATAAATAAAAGGGGGGCACATCTCCAGTACCCCCCCAAAAAAAGGTTACTCAAAGAAAATCAGAGTTTGCAGAAGGAATAAAAGCCTGGGTGGACATAATACCTGTCACAGTTGGAACACAGGTCAAAGGTGGAGGGGAGGGTCAAATTGAGAGCAGGTCTGGGCCCAGGGTTGAAGACTGGATCACTTTTTGAGTCTGATCTAGAAATTGAGGTCAATTCTATCGTGTTGAAGAAATAATCTGAAAATGGTTCCCGTTTGAGTCTGGCCTTCAAGGTCCCCACCACCAGAGTCCTGTTCTATTTCTGCCCAGTTGTCAGCTCCTCTCCCCACTCAGCTCCGGCTGCATGGCCTTCTGCGCCTGCTGCTTGTCTAACACACCTGCCCATTCACTCTCCCCGGAACTCTCCACCCCCAAGTAACCACAGGGATTCCTCCATCACCTCCTTCAAGTGCACCTGCCACCTTCTCCAGGAGCCTTTTGAAACATCTTTCCTAATATGAGAGCCCAGAATCCTGGAGGGCAGGGGGAACCCATAATTCTTTCACCCTCTTCCCTGCTTTCTCAGAAGTGCCAGGGTCTCCCCCTCACTCCTCATTGGCTAGAACCACATCACATGTCAGTCTCTCTCCATGGCGCTCACCACCACTTAACAAACTCTGTATTTCATGAGTTTATTTATTTCCATATGTTTATTTTTGGGTCTCCAACTCAACCAAGCAGGCAGTCCCCATCAAGGCAGAAATCTGTCTTGCCGTGGCCTCAGGACCCAGAGCAGTTTCTGGCACACGGTAGACATTTGAAGGATGAATGCAACTAGCAAAGGTGAAGAAACCAATTTACTCCTCATTATTACATTCAAAACTCCGCAAGCGAACTTCAAGGTGAAGCAGATTACATAAGCCACAATACTAAAGCCATAGTACGGAATATCATACAACATTACAAAGAAAGGGGAAAGGATCTAAAGGGACCAGCAGGGACAACTGTTCACAATATTTTGTAAAGTTTTTTAAAAAAAAAAGGTAGGGCTGGGGTAGTGGCTCAGTGGTAGAGTGCTCACCTCACACGTGGAGACCCTGGGTTCGATCCTCTGCACCACATAAAAATAAATAAGTGAAATAAAGGTATTGTGTCCAACTGCAACTAAAAAATAAATATTAAAAAAGGTTGCATTAGATAATATTTGCCATAGACATTTTTTATTACATATCCCGGCTACAGAGAGAAACCTACATATGACATGAGTAGAATAAACAGAGCACAGACTCAGCGGTTGACAGTAAACCCTCAGTTGGAAACAAGCTCAGGCTCAAAGGTAAGACTGGGACCTGGCCTCTCCAGGTTCCCACAGGCTCCTCAGCCATAGGGTGAAGGGCCCAGGCCACCTGAGAGCAGGGGAGGGCAAGGGAATGGCCCCAGAGGAGGACCCAGGACAGAGCCAGCGGCTGTGCCTTGCCTCTCTTGAATCCTGCTCCTCTCCTGCTCCTCAGGCCCTGCACCTGGGCCCTCCCAGTGAGCAAGCAGCAGGGGTGGTGGGGCCAGAATATGTAGGGGTAAGCTAGCTGGGTGCCGCCCAGCCTGGCTGCTGGCAGGAGGGTGGGGAAGCAGTGTGGTATCAATTACTTGGGCTGCCCCAGGGATTCCAGATAACCCTAACTGAACACAGGAAGAAGGTGTCCTGGAGCCGCCTCTGCCTGCACCCCAGGGCGCTGGGGGCGGGCACGGGGCGGGAGTGGTATAAGAGGACAGCCCTGCAGAGGGCTGCAGACACTTGGCTCCCAACAGAGGCCAGAGCTGAGATCAGATCAACCTTCCAAAGGTGAGAAGGGACCTTATCAAGAAGGTTGTGTGGGGGCGAGGCAGTAATGCTGGCCAGACCGGCTGACTCCAGGTGCCATGGGGCTGGAGGCCTGCAACTTGGAAAGA